CAGCATGTCTCCCTGGAAGATCAGGCTTAGAGCAGCACACTTTTTCTTTTCTTTTTTTAAATAAAGATAAACACATGAGGTAGTTTACTGACCCAGGTTATTGACCAATCAGGCTAAAAGCTGAAGGGCATCTACTAACAACAATACCCGGTTCTGGTCAGTTGCTCTGTGGTCTTTCTTTTTGGCAAGAGGAGACGGCAGGCCATTTGGCTACTCAGGCTACTCCTTGTTTGAGATAATAGAAGCATAATCATAGCACACAAATGGAGACTTGTTTTTCTGTTTCTGTACCAGGAAGGCAGGCTGGCCTCTAACTCATTTTAAAGCCATATCAGCTTACTAAGAAACTAGCTAGATGGGGTAAAGAGGGCCAGGCTTCTCTTACCTCTTAGGAAGGTTTTAACTACACTTACAAGGCAGAAGTAAGAATAGGTTCTAGGGGCTGGGGAGACGGTTTGCTGTGCAAGCCCGAGGACCTGAGTTCAATCCTCAGCACCTATGCAAAGACCAGGTATAGTGAGTGGCACACAGTTGTAATCCCAGAGCTGGGCATGTGGGTCCTCGAGGCTTGCTGGCCAGCCTCACTGCCTAATCAGCAAGCCCCAACTCCCCAGTGAGAGACTCTGTCTCTATAAACAGGGTGGACAGCTCCTGAGACATGGCTCCAGAGGTTGATCTCTGCCCTCACATGCATGTGCACCTGCACATACATGAATATCACAGGTTCTCCCTACTCCCCACCAAGAGGAACAGGTTCTGGGCAACATAATTGTCAAGCCATACTCATACTTAGCTCAGAGTCAGTCCTTGGCCTTAGAAGACCCAAACACTTAGAAGCTGAGAAGACCCCAAAGACCCAAAGCCAGAAGAAACACATAGACATTACAAAAGCCCTAAGCCAGTGGTTCCCAAGCTTTCGAGGTGTGTCTTAATCCAGTTAGGCATTTTAAAAAAGCATTCTTAGGCCAAAAGATACCAGTTTCATTTATGAAGGGATTAGAGCTAACTAGCTTAACAATTATTTATGTCTTGACAATGTGGTGGCTACTCCAAGAAATCCCAATGAACATAATGCTTTGCTACTAGAGATCTTAGAATTACTAACAAGGTTTGTGAATTTGTTGGATACTGAACAAATTCCCAAACCATTGGACACCATCGCTCTCATTTCCTGTCCCTCACTGAGTTTCACATGGCACTGTTATTTAAAACCCAATCTCCACAAATTCTCACCAATCCAAGATACATGCGTTGGAAGGAATATGGGATCTAATCTTGATGCTCTGAACTACATGGCTAGTCATTTGCTTGGTGTCCATTTGATGCTGAGAACTGCTGTGCTTCTCTTGAAAGTGCAGAATGTATTGCGTGACCCCCAGGAGTGTGGGTGCTCCAGGCTGCCTTGATGCAGTATGGGAAGTATGACTTCATATGATTGCTTTCCAAGTTCTTCCCTAGCAGTGAGTAGCAGAAGTCTCAGGAAGAGTGTTCCTGGAGGAAGAGCCCACTGGTGGAACTAGCCAATGGGCCAGATGACACTTCCAACCAGACCACACTTAAGGGAATTGAAAGAATGACCATTCCCCCTTATATTTTGAGAGTCTTGTTATGTAGCCTAGGCTGGCCTCAAACTCTTGAATCTCATACCTGGCTTCCTGAGGGCTGTGATTACAGGGATGTGTCACTGTACCACCTCAATGTGACTCTTTAGAACATAGTGGTGTGACTCTTTAGAACATAGTGATGTGACTCTTTAGAACATAATGATGTGACTCTTTAGAACATAGTGGTGTGACTCTTTGGAACGTCTTTTCAAGATGAAGACCCCAGGGCCTTCATGTTGTGTGTAAAAAAAGTGGTTAGTGAGAGTAACCAACTATTTAGACTAATCCTTAAGCATATCAGAAACACACACACACACACACACACACACACACACACACACACACACACACACACATGCCTAAGCACTGCATCAGAGAAGTATTTGAGAGAGTTGGGCATGATGTTAGAACACCTGGGAGGCACAGGCAGGAAGACCAGGAACACAAGGTCATGCTGGGCCCTGTGTTGAGTTCAAGGTCAGTCTGGGCTACAAGAGACCCTGTTTCTGATAAAAGGGAGTTGAGGCACAGTCCATGTGCCCGAGACATTCACAGTCCATGCAGGGGTAGGGATATAGGGGGACAGATAACTCAGTAGATGGTTACCAGTACCATTGAGGTACAAAAGCAGTATACTGTGGCATGTAGCATATAGACCCTGAACCTCTCCGAAGGTTTCCTAGGTACCATGATAGGTTGTACCTGGGTTTTCCCTGTAGCGATTACAGGGACTAAATTGCTCCAGAATGAGTGTCCTGCAGGCCACTTCCCCTGGTCTCTAAGTGGCAAAGTGGGGCACAGAATTCTGCCTGCACTGTACAGTCCCTTTCCACAGTGCTGAAGAGAAGCCGGGCCCGAGTCTGCACTGGCCCCTCCCTACAACTTCTTAGAAGCCTGCATGGGGACCAAGGACACTAGCTACATAGGTCTTCTCAGTCACTTGGTCTGGACGTAATCACTTAAACTGTGTTGACTGCTGATCCCTTGTTCTGTAGAAGAGATGTCTGGGGTAACGCAGTAACAGAATAGGTGCTTGGCATGTGTGAGATCCTCAGTGTGAGCTCTACCAGTGCTGGGGGAATAAATTGACATGGGGTTTACAGATATCAATCTTTCTACATTCATTATTTGAAAAGATTTTACTTATTTTATTTTATTGCGTGCTGACTACGTGCCAGGGATTGTACAGCCAAGAAAGAGTCTCCCCCAATTTGCACGTATCATCTCACTCTTCAGAAACAGTCTTGGGGGCTTCCGGCCGTTATGTACCCAGACAAGCCCAGTCTCTGTAAACAACTATAAAACTGAGAACAGTCTCTGAGGCAACTGTTTGTAGGCGGTGGAAACAGGCCATGCAAGGCCGCCGTGCCTGAGAGGAGGGGGCCTCTGGACAGGAGCCCCGGGTTGGTTCAGCTCCTTTCAGCCTGCCTCCTCCTACTCTGTCCTTCTGCAGGACACTCTTGCGCAGTGCCTGCCTGCCATTCTTTAAACAGCCAAGCTGTTCTCTGCCTGGGAAGTCCTTCCCTCTTGTTCAGGGCATTTTCATTCTGCATTCTTTGCTTGAATGCCATGACCTTAAATACTTTTTCTGATAGTGGCACTGTATTTCTCTCTCATTTATCAACCTATTTCTCCCTTCCTAGTACCGAGTAGACTTTCTAAAGATTTGTTTACTTACTTATTTATATATTGTCTGCTTTTCCTACTAGACCACGGTTTGCATATCCATGACACAGCACAGGATGCCCAATAAATAGCTGCTGTTGAAGTGAAGAAAGGTAGGAAGGACTAAATTGATGCCCCTTCTCTCTGGGGCAGGGAGAGTTAGGAGGAACATGAGGAGAAATTCTCCCTCCCGCTTTACAAACGTTACTGAAGTTAGGGACTTTGTAGGGCAGATCTGAGAAGGCTTCATAAAGGATTTGGGACTTGAAGACAGACAGCATATGTTCTCATGGTGTGAGTGTGAACGTCTCCCACAAGCTCATGTGTTTGTTTGACTACTGATTCCTCAGCTGGTGGCACTGTTTTGGTGAGTCTCAGCAGCTTCAGGAGATGGAGCCTAGATGGGGGATGTGGACCGCCTGATTTCTCCACTGAGCTCTCTCTGTTTCTTGATCCGCTGAGATGTGAGCCCCCACTGCTAGGACTGAACCTCAGCTGCCAAGCCTTTCCCACTGGGTGGTTTGAAGGCACCCCACAGGCTCATGTATTTGAATGTGTGGTCACCAGGGAGAAGAACTGTCTGAAGGGTTTAGAAGGGTTAGGAGGTGCGGCCTTGCTGGAGCTGGTGTGGCCTTATTGCAGGAGGTATGTCCCTGGTGGTGGGCTATGAGGATTCTAAAGGATATAAACTCTCAGCCCCATGCTTGCATTCCCACCACCATGCTCCCCACCATGATGATCATGGACTAACCTGAAACTGTCAGCAAGCTCCTGATGAAATGCTTTCTTTTACAAGAGCTGCCTGGGTCATGGTGTCTCTTCACAGCAATAGAATAGTAACTAAGACATCCACCATGACGGGGGCGGCGGTAATTAACGGTGAGCTGAGACAAACCCACCCTCCCACCATGATGGGACAGTCAAACTGAGCTAAAACAAACCTCTTCCCACAGGCCACTTCTGTCAAACATTTTGTCACAGTGAGGGAAAAAGTAAGCAAGGCCGATTTCCACTCAGCAAATCCCAGTGGAGCTCTGAAAGGGCCTGCTGTCCTTCACACTTCACAGATGAGGCCCAGACAAGCCAAGGACTCATTTGAGGTCATCCAACTTGAAACCATGACCTGTCCCCCATGACCTGTCCTCCATACTACTCCGGCTTGAACCAGGTAATCAAGGCAATTTTTCTCCTTCCCATCCCTCCCCCATTTACTCTTCTGCATGCTGCACTCATAGACAGGTTTAATGCTGGCATGGTGTAACATCTGAGAGCTCATGGGGCAGGTGCCCAGTCTCTTCCTGGAAGGACCTAGGAGGTCAGACTCTGCCAGCCAAACTCCACTGCCAAAGCATCCTCCAGCTGGAACCATGGCCCTGGTGACTCAACTCAAGGGCCCCTTGGCCAAGGCAGCCTGTGCCAGAGGACCCCAGCATGGCTGAGGCTCACCGCTGACTCATAGGGCAGGCTGCCACCACTCAAATCACCCACTCCACCTCTGGCTGGAGAAGAAGGCTGGGGAAACTGGGGTGGGACCCTGAGCTGGGGCATGTGACTCAGCCTCTGTATAAATAATAATAAATGACAATGGTCATAATAACATCAATGATGGATGATGACAGCTGTGCCTAATGAGTGCTTTTCATGGGCCAGGCATTAGTCTACAAGTCCTATAGTAATTCATTTAGTCTTCATAAGAATCCTATGAGGTTATTCCAATTTTGTACATTAAAAACTGTGTCCCAGCAAGGATACATTACCAGCTGTGGGATTCAGAGCTGGCACACAGAAGCACTGACATTTCAACCAAAGTCTGTCTGACTCTAAGGCCTAGTTATTCATTGAACAAATATTTATGGAGCCCCAATTACAAGCCAGGTATTATTGTGGGAACTGGGGGTGCAGTAGTGGGGCTGGGTGGGAAGATCGTCCACAAATAAATACATGGTAGTTAGGTGGAGATGAACATGGAGGGGCAAATAAATTGGGCTGATGTGAGTCAGAATGGGGCTATTTCACATGGAGCAATTTCATTGTTGGAGTCCTCTCTAATAAGGAGACATTGAGTCTCTACTGGGAACTGAATGCATTGATACTGAGAGATATTAATGACCAATAATTCCTGTTATTTTGTTGTTGGTGGTAGGGTGTGTGCTTCCCTTCTTTTGGTTTTGCTGGAGGGAGATTATTTCCTATGTCTTCATAACTTCTGTAACCAGGCAAAGCTTCCAGTGGTGAGACAGAAACATCAACCCAGCCACAAAACCTTCGTTCGACCTACAATCTGTCCTGCCTGCAGGATGTGCTGGGGTACTGGTGGCACAGAACCTGTGGGATGGCCAACCAATGACTGGTCCGACCAGTGGCCCATGCCACAAGAGGGAGCCCAGGCCTGACACTGCCTGGAGGGCCAGGACCCAGAGACCAAGGACAGAACCAAACACAACTGGCCAAACAAACAGCAAAAAACCCAACGACTCCATGAAACGATTCCTAAGGATATTCTGCTATACTCATAGACTTCAGCCTAGCCCAGTCATCATCAGAGAGGCTTCATCCAGCAACTGATGGGAGCAGATGCGGAGACCACAGCCAAACATTAGGCAGAGCTCAGACGAGAGGAGGGAAAGATTGTAGGAGCCGGAGGTCTTGAGGACACCACAAGAACCACAACTAAGCAGGGCTCACAGAAACTGAGCTGACAGTGAGGGAGCCTGTATGGGTCTGAGCTAGGTCCTCTGCATATATGTTATGGTTGTATAGTTTGGTGTCCTTGTGGGACTCCTAACGGTGGGAGTGGGGATTGTCTCTGACTCTTTTGCTTGCTCTTGGGAGCTTTTCCTCCTGCTCAGTTGCCTTGTCCTCGGACCTGCCCCCACCTGTCTGATGGCTCTCCTGACATTCCTCTTGATAGGAGGGTTTGTGTCTAGTCTTATTGTAACTTGCTATGCCGTGTTCAGTGGATATCCCTGGAGGCCTGCTCTTTTCTGAAGGGAAACAGAGGAGGAGTGGATGTTGGGAGAGAGAAAAAGGGGGGGGGGCGCTGGGAGGAGTGGGGAGGAGAAACCGAAGCCAGGATGTACAAATATATGAGAGAAGAAGAAATACAAAAAAAAGGAGACATTGAGAAGGCACCAAAAGAAAGCGGGAGGGTGAGTGCCATGACTCTCTGGTGGGTCTCAGCCCAAGCTGGAGGTGTTGGGTAGGCTTGCCAGGCAGCATGGGCACTGGTGTGGAGGCAGGGAAAGAGATCCAGGGAGGAACGTCAGGAGGGCATCAGATAGATGGGTGGGGGCAGGTCCAAGGAGGTGATCCAGGGAGGAACGTCAGGAGAGCCATCAGATAGGTGGGACAGGTCCGAGGAGGTGATCCAGGGAGGAACGTCAGGAGAGCCATCAGATAGATGGGTAGGGCAGGTCCGAGGAGGGGATCCAGGAGGAACGTCAGGAGGGCATCAGATAGATGGGTGGGGGCAGGTCCGAGGAGGGGATCCAGGAGGAACGTCAGGAGGCCATCAGATAGGTGGGACAGGTCCGAGGAGGGGATCCAGGAGGAACGTCAGGAGGACATCAGATAGGTGGGACAGGTCCGAGGAGGGGATCCAGGGAGGAATGTCAGGAGGGCATCAGATAGGTGGGGGCAGGTCATTGTGGGTCTCAGAGCCCTCACGTGGATTTAAGGTTTTCTTTGAAATGACAGGGCCAACCATAGCCATGGAGGTTTTGGGTCAGGGAACGGACAAGATCTTCATTACGGAGAAAAGGATGACTTTGGTGTGAGAAGGCTAAGTCAAGTGCTGAAGAGTAGGGAGATGGGCTAGAAAGCTAGCTTAATAACAAGTGAGGGAGGGCAGGGGTTTGAGCAAGGAAGGCAGGTTCTAGGACTACTGTGAAGGGATTTGCTGATGGGCAGAAGATGAAGCATGATAAAAAGCAGGTGTGAAGGATAACGCTAGATTTGGAGTGGGGGCAACAGGAAGGACAGGTCTCCTCTCCCCCCCTGGCCCTGCTCCAGTGAGACAGTCTGTGGAAGCACAGGTTTGGGGAGTGCTCAGGTGTTTACTGTTGAGGTCCGCATGGCCCAGTTCTGTGGGAGAGCCCATCTTCTTCCAGGTCTCTCTTGATCCTGGGAGATACGGCTGCATGGAACCCATGTAGCGCACCATGTTGACATCAGCCAGCACAGCACGGAGGAAGTGTTCAAGAATGCAGGTGTTCCTAAAGTCGGTGAGCTGAGACCAAATGAGAATAAGGCCTCGGTGACATCCTTAGTCCCACGAGCCCCAAGCTAGTTTCAAATGGACTTTCCTTTTCCTTTTCATTTCTTGCCTCTGCCTCATCCATAGTGGCCTAGAACTCACTATATAAGTGCAGACCAGCTTCTAACTAATGGGAATCCTCCTGCCTCAGACTCTCCAGTGCTGGAATTCATGACATTAAGTCACCATACACCCAGTTTGAGATGATATTTCTTAGAGCCCAAGTAATCTTGTTTCTTGCAGGAAAGGTAATCTTGATCTGGGATGAGTGTATCCACTGGTTAGTGGCTGTCAGGCCAGCTCTGCTGGCTTCAGAGTGTTGCTGAAGTTCCTGTCTGCAGCAGAATTTTTCACTCTGGAGAACTTGAGTACCTCAAGTCCTTTTCTTTGGCAGCACAGTGCCTCTGGACAGGGGAAGAGATAACCAAGATAATACCTTATTTCCGAATTCATGCAGCTTCATTCATTGTGAGAGAACACTCACCTGCCTGCTACTTAATCCCCCTCGCCCCCAGGGGGAGCATTATTGTATTGATTAGAAGAACTGAAGGAGAAACTGCAAAGCATGGGCCAGTCTAGTTTTCTATGCTTTCCTTTGGGTATCAGTCTTTCCCATGGAGACCATGCAATCTGCTTTTCTTCCTCAGATCAGGCTTGGAAAGCTGAAGGCTGACATTGGCCAGGTAGAACACCTTAATTATGGTGAAATGGAAAGTTTCAGGTAAAGAGATAACACTCTCTTGGGCTATTTAGCTTCCTCTATAAAAGTAGCTATTTACTTTTGGCCTTTGTATCTACCCTACATTCTCACAACTACATTCCTGTTGGAATGTGTTGCCAAGCTTAGCTGACCTCAAACGCACTTACTCTAGTCTTTCCTGTGGATATTGGATGGGATCTGATCTCCCTGACTCCTAGAGGAAATTATTACTTGCTGTAGCCTACCTACTTAACACCTCTACCAACATATTTGTTGAATGTATTGATTTATGATCTTTATTCTGCATAACTCCTTCCAGAGTGGAACACATCACTCAGGGTAACTGAATCCACTTCCTGACTCATTCTCATTCATATTCGCTTTGAATAACATGTTTTCCTTCTAGTCGGACAATGTTGGCACCTAATGCGGGACCCAAAGAACATTTACGCATATAAAAGGAGTTTCTGTAATTGATGCTGGGTAATAGTAGAAGCTCATTTTATCTCCTGAACAGGATGCCCTCTCAGTGGATGCTGGTGGATGTTTTCTGTCTCCTATCTTCCCTTCATTTGGTTGCAGGTCCTTTGGTTTGTGAGGGTGGCTGTTGTTAGGTGCATATCCCTTTGTTTCAAAACAGTTATCAGAATCCTTGTTTGCCAACACTGATGTTTTTCTCTTGCCACCCTCATTACCTACACTTTCCTTTTTTGTTTCCTTCTCTTGTCTATTACAACATTGTCCATTTTATTGCAGAAATTCCACGAGTGCCTGTTCATAAAGACATAAAGGTTTCCTCCAAACCAAGAGAGCATGAAAAGGCATGATCAGATGACCAATTATTTCTTTTTATTTTGTGGGCCAGTTGGGGTCATGTTTATATTTAGGTCTTCCCTAAAAGTTTGGTAGAATTCAGCCGTGACTTTTGGAGTGTGAACTTGGTATAGTCATCATGAAAATCAGTTTGTATGCACATACAAACACAAACAAATAAATGAATGTCATAATTAAAAATATTATGTTCTTTTTCATCTTTCCTGGCCCCAATATTTGTTAGAGTCAGGATGAAAATGTCATGGAAACAGCACAGTCAGAATTTAATTCAAACTCAACAAGGTGAGGACAACTTGAAGGAATCCTTCCTTTCACTGTGTGAGTTCTAGGGGCTTTAGGCTTGGTGGCAGGGGCCTATACTAGCTGAGTTATTTTGTTAGTCTAAGTAATTGCCTTTCTATCTATCTATCTATCTATCTATCTATCTATCTATCTATCTATCTATCTATTTGGTTTTTCGAGACAGGATTTCCCTTATACTTACTTACGTACTTACTTACTTAGGATAAGCAATTGCCTTTAAATGCTTTTCCCAATTGAGATCTAGTGGCCTTATTATCTAGCAAATAGAAATGGCCCACTTCTGTTGATAAGACATTTCCCTCTAGCTATTAATTCAGTGTTTCCTCCTAAAAGACTATGCACTGGTAACATCCCGGACTTGGCACACCTTCCCTGACCCTAACTGGAATCTGCTTCCCATCCTTTCCCACTGC